GAGGAGATTGTTGTTGGAGTAAGATTATCGGTTGTTGAGGAGGTTCTCATTGGAAGGGGCAGTCGTTCAACAGTAACTTGTTCAACACTAACACCAAATATTCCTCCGACGGCCTGAGATGGTGATGCTCTCTCTGTCTCTGTCTCTCCAAACGCTTCCCCTTGGTGCTGTGCTGCACGATTGTCCTTTGTACTCTGCTCTCACCCCTCCAACTGCATGTCCTGCATGTGCTGGTGCTGGTGCCCTGACCCTGATGCCACTGTGACTTTTACCCTTAGCTCTGCTTTTCATCCCTGACTACCGCGTGGGCGAGGGACTTTGTAATAGACTGCCTCACAATCAGTCTCAGGATTTCAACACCACCAGTTCCCACAACAGCTCTGAACGAAGCCTCTCAGGTTGGTTCCTCATCACTAACACCTCCTATCCATCTTCCCCTCCCTCCGCACCCACCCCCACCATCACACCTCAACTTACCTTAATGACTCCCTTCCCACCAAAGAGACACTTGTCCCACTCGCCTTCCAACTGCCGGGAAGCCCTTTCCATTGGCTGGAAGCTGGAGGGCATCAATTTAAAAATCATCATAATAATAATCCTTGCATTTGATACAGCGCCTTATCACATCTCGCTTTCCGGGGGATAATAATCCCTCCCAAGAAAAAAACTGCGGTCATGACTGTTTGTGGGATGCTGCTGTGCGATATTGGCAGCCGCGTTTCGCCCACAAAAATACAGTCAATTCACTTTACGATGTACTCTGTGAAGAGCTTTGAGACGTCTCAGCCACGTGATAAGGCACTGCATCAAATGCAAGAATTATTAATATTGTTATTATGTCATTGAGATGTCTCACAGCGCTTCACTCTAATGAGACGGTGTTTTGTAGGTCAACACGGCAGCCAATTTGCACACAACAACGTCCCATAAACAGCCATGGAAAGAGTGCACAATTTTATATGGGAGATTGTCAGCCAGGACACTGGGAGAGAGAGAAACTCTCTCTCTTTTCCAATAGTGCCACGGAATCTTTATGGTCCACCTGAACAGGCATAGACAGTACCTTGGTTTAACGTCTCATCCAAGCTCCCCCCCGCCAGCACTGCATTAGAGTGTCAGTTCAGACTGGATGAGTTCCCAGTACCAATGTGGAGCTCGAACCCACAACCTTCTGACTCTGAGGCCAGAATGCTGTGAAGACTCCATTGGGGATCCCAGATCTCTCGTTGGAATAACTGCTGGAGTCTAACCCACTTAGCTTGCCATTGAGAACCACTGTCTGGCAAGCTTCCCCGTTGCTTGTCCAGCTAGGACCACCCTACCCATCAGGGCTTTGGCTTGCAGGGTTAATAGGAGCTGAATGGGAGGATTCCCTGCCCCCAGTGACTGGTTGCCCTTCCAGGTCCTGCCGATGAGCCAGACTGGGCTGTGCCGTCATCAGCAGTGCCCTGGAATACTGCGCACCCGCCTGGCTCAGGACCTGGACTAGAGACCGTCACAGAGGGCTGAGACTCGATTCCAATATTCCGTTGCCAAACATGTCACCTTGGTGCCAGTTCAGCTCCGAGGAGACCCCACTTACCCCCCCCTCAAGGAGGATAGTCACTAGTTGGCTATTGGGGATTTGGTGTTAAAAGCTTGCGATGTTTTGCTGAAAATGTTGTTTATTGTGATTCTCTCCACTCTCTCCCCTACCCCCTGCTCTTCCTACTCTCTCACCCCCTTCCCCCCATCCCTTTACTCACATATCTTTCTTCTCTTTCTCACTCCTTTCCCTCCTCTGCATTATTTCACCCCTACTCTCTCTTCTCTCTACCTCTCTTCTTATTTTGTCTCCTCATTCTCTATCCATCTTTCTCTCTTGTCTTTCTCTCCTCACTCTCGCCTCTCTCTCTCTCTCTTACTCTCGCTCTCCTTGCTCTCTATCCTCTCTCTCTCTTTCTGTTTCTCTCACTCTCACTTTTCTCTCTCTTTCTCTCTCCTTACTCTCTCTCTCTCTCCTCTCGCTTTCTCTCTCTCTCTCCCTCTCCCGCTCACTCACAGATCTGGTGTGTGGGGAACGAGTCTCGGTTCCACATTAACCGTACGGTGGACGGGTCGATCCGTTCGGTGGTGCTGGGGGGGCTGTACCCGGGGATACATTACCAGGTGCAGGTAGCAGCTAGCACCAGCGCTGGCGTGGGGGTGCCTAGCGATCCTCAGCCCATCACCATCGGTAAGTCACCACAGCGTGAGCCCACCCTGCCCGTCTCTACATACAATTCCTCTCCTCGGCCTCCTTCCTCACCCCACCTCCCTCCTTCTTCAAACTGAGGAAGGGCCAGAAAAGTCCCGTGGCTTAGTGGTTAGAGCTCTCGCCTCGCAAGCGAGAGGACCCAGGTACAAATCCCGGGCAGGGCAAAACCTTAGCCAAGTTTCCTTACTCCACGCACCTGTTTATCCAGCAGTAAATAGGAACCAAAGTAATAATTTGGTCACTCAATCCACGACCGTTTGTGGGACGCTGCTGTGCGCAATTGGCTGCCACATTTCGCCCACAAAAGATATACAGTTACTGCACTTTACAGTATATTCTGTGAAGCACTTTGAGACGTCTCAACGACATGATAAGGCGCTGCATCGAATGCAAGAATTATTACTGTTCTTATAATAATTATGGAAACTTTCAAACCCAGTCTTAATGTGGAATGAGCTGTGAGCAACTTCTACTAATAATAATCCTTGCATTTGATATAGTGCCTTATCACGACGTTAAGGTGTCTCCACCATCTGCGGTCGGGCCTTAACCTTTCTGCTCCCACCCTCTGGAACTCCATCCCGGAGCCCTTCCACCTCGCTCCCTTCAAGGGCCATCTCAAGATCCTCCTCTTAGGTCACCCTCCTACTCCTACCCTCTCCACCCCTCCTGATCCCAACCCCCTTCCTGACTGTCCAGGCCTTGGGACGTCCTCCCGACCCGATAGGCTGTGTGTAAATGTAATTAGTTGTTGTTGGGGTTTGTGAGCATGTCCTCAGGGGACTGTAACCATCGCTGTCCTTTGTTGGTTACCAGGGAGCCGGGACATCTTCATGACGGGCCCCCAGGGCAACAACAGCATCACGGAGCAGATCACGGACGTGGTGAAACAGCCGGCCTTCATCGCGGGCATCGGTGGAGCCTGCTGGGTCATCCTCATGGGCTTCAGTATCTGGCTGTACTGGCGGCGGAAAAAGAGGAAGGGACTGAGCAACTACGCAGGTAACCGGGGGCAGCCAGGAGAGTCAATGGAGAGTCAGTCAATGGGGAGTCAGTCAGTCAGTCAGTCAATGGGGAGTCAGTCAGTCAATCAATGGGGAAATGGGAACTCAGTCAGTCAATGGGGAATCAGTCAATCAGTCAACGGGGAGTCAGTTAGTCAATGGGGAGATTGGGTGAATGGGGAGAGTCTCGAGGGGAATGTGTGACCTGTACAGTGTTGGTGTGTGGCCCGGTCTCTCCTGGTCACAGCGAGGCCTTCTGTGGGACCGTGTGCCACGACGGGCATGTGGGGTTTGATGGTGACTCGGAGGCCAGAGTGTGAGCGAGCGAGCGAGCGAACGAGCCAGGCTGGGAGGTCTCCAGGGAACACAACGTGTGGGGAGAGTGGAGTGTGAGACTCCTCTCTGAACTCCTTTTATTTCCCTCTTCTCTCTCTCTCTCTCTCTTTCTCCTTCTCTCTGTTTATCTCTCTCGCCTGGATCACCCCAGGGTGAAGGGCTGGCTCTTGCCCTGTAAGCTGCTCTCTCTCTTTCTCTCTCTCTGTTGTTGTGGCGGCCTCTCTGTTTGACTCATTGCCTGTCTCTGCCTTCTTGTTTTACAGTTCAATCCTTCACCTTCACTCCTGCAGGTACTGTCTGTCTGTCTGTCTGTCCGTCTCTAGCCTCGCTGGTACACACCACAATACATATTCCATCTGACAGTTACATGCTGGACATTTTACTTCCAATGAGCAGTGTCTGTCAGGCTCTCTCTCAAACTTTGTCCGTGTCCCACTGTGTGTGTGTCTCTCTCACTTTATCTGTGGTGTGTGTCTCTCTCACTGTATCTGTGTGTGTGTGCGTGTGTGTGTTTGTGTGTGAGTGAGTGTGTCTCACTCACTGTGTATATGTGCGTACTTCTCTCTCATTGTGTATGTCTGCGTGTGTGTATATGTCTCTCCTCACTGTGTATGTGTGTCTCTCTCTCACTGTGTACGTGCGTAAGTCGGTCTCTCTCTCACATTTGTGTGTGTGTGTGTGTCTCTCACTGTGTATGGTGTGTGTGTTTCTCTCTCACTGCATACGTGTGTGCGTGTATATGTCTCTCCTCACTGTGTGCGCGTCTCTCTCGCTGAGTGCGTGTCTTTCTCACTCTGTGTTTGTGTGTCTCTGTCTCATTTCACTATGTGTCTCTGTCACACTGTTTGTGTCTGACACTCTCTACCTATCTCATGATGTGTGTGTGTGTGTCCCTCTATCAATGTGTCTCTCTCTCTCACTGTGTGCCTCTCTTTCACTGTGTGTCTCTCTCTCACGCACTTCGGGGACTCACCACTGACCAACTATTTCACGTGTTTACTGTCAGCCTGTGATCTCAGGAGTTGAGCGCCACTTACAGTTAACTCACCTCACCTCATTCTGACACCTTTACACCTTACTCTTAACATCTATAACCCCTGTCGTCTCCACCCAATTCACTCACTCCACTCTCTGTCTCACTCACTCTACTCTCTCCACTTTCACTCTCACACGCCACCCTCTCTGACCCACTCAACTCTCTCTCTCGCTCCTCTCACTCCACTCTCTCTCTCAGTCACTCCACTCTCTCTTTCTCACTCCACTCTCTCATTCCACTTTCTCTCTTTCACTCCACTCTACCTCTCTCTCCCTCGCTCTCCCCATCTCACTCCGCAAGACGTTGTACAACCGTAAGTTGTTTATTCTAGAAACCCATTGATTGTGCCCTGAACTTGCACAGTGTTGTGTCATTAAATGGAGTCTGACGTGCAGTCGGATGCAGCCTGATCAGGAATGGGGAGTGATAATAATAATAATAATAATTCTTGCATTTGATATAGCGCTTTTCACGTCTTCTAGACGTCTCAAACTGCTTCACAGAATAGCCTATAAAGTGAATTGACTATATTTGTGGGTGAAATGCGGCAGCCAATTGCACACAGCAGTGTCCCACAAACAGTCGTGGATTGAAGTGACTAATTTATTATTGTTTTATTTTCTTGAGGGATTATTATCAGGCGTGTGGAATAAGGAAACTTGCCCAAGCTTTCACCCAGCTGGGAATCGAACCCAGGTCTCTCGCTCGCAAAGCGAGTTCTCCAACCACTGAGCGACAGGACTCCACAGACTGATAGACAGTCATAAAAATCTCAGTGTAACCACATAGAAACCACATCCGCACTGCTCTGGGCAGTGACAGCTCAGGGCAATCAGGGGCAGTTGGAATCACATCGTCTAAGCTGACAGTCCATTGCAGGGCTGGGGGGGGATGTTGCATTATTCGAGGTGCCATCCTTCGGATGAGACGTTAAACCGAGGTCTTGCCTGACTGCTCAGGTGGACATTAAAAATCCTGTGGCGCTATTCAAAAAGAAAAACATCCTCTCTCTCCCTGTGTTCTGGCCAACAATCCCCAGGATAAAGGTTGCTCACTTACGTAATGGCTGTTTGTGGGGCACTGCTGAGTGCAAAATGGCTGCTGCATTTTCGTCCTCGAAATACACATTCACTGCACTTTATAATATATCCTGTGAAGCGCTTTGAGATGTCTCGATTACTTGATAAGGCGCTATATCAAATGTGAGGATTATTATTAGTATCGGTATAAGATACTTTAAGGTATACATTTTCATGAGGGGGAAAGACAGTTGAGGTCGTGAAACATTTAAGAAACGCTAATGTGAGGAGGTTTGGGATGAGATGAGATTCAAATGAGATTCGGGAAGGATGATTCGGGATGGGTCTTCTTCACTCGAACCTTTCCTGGTTACAACAACAACAAATTGCATTTACACAGCGACTTTCACGTCGGGAGGACGTCCCAAGGCGCTGGACAGGTTTGCACCCGAGCTGGGGGTTTGGATCAGGAGGGGTGGACGGCAGGGGGTAGGAGAAAGACCGATGGCACGGTCGAAGAGATGGGTCTTGAGACGAGCCTTGAAGGAGGCGAGGGAGGGGGCAAGGCGGAGGGACTGTCCAAATTGTGGGGAGCAGAGAGCCTGAAGGACAGACTGCTGATGGTGGCGGGGGGCTGGGCAAAGGACATGGAGCAGGCCGGAGCCCCCTGAATAATAATAATGATAATAACCCTTGCATATGATATTGCGCTTTTTCACGTCTTCTAGACGTCGCAAAGCGCTTCACAGAGTATACTGTAAAGTGAATTGACTATATTTGTGGGCGAAATGCAGCAGCCAATTGCGCACAGCAGTGTCCCACAAACAGTCGTGGATTGAAGTGACCAATTTTATTGCTTTTGTTTTTTCGGAGGGAGCGGCTAGATCGATATGGTCACAGGTCACAGAGGTAGGGAGGAGCAAGGCCGTGGGGTGGGATGGGGGCGCGGGAGGGGGCTTTGAAGGTGAGGACGAGGATCTTGAACTCTATCCTCTGGGGTTCGGGGAGCTAGTGAGGCTGAGTGGGCAAGGACTTGGGTGATGAGCTCTCGGTGGTTATATGGTTAAATAGGTTGAGAGAGGAGCGTGAGAGCAGGTTGTGACGGATGGCTGTGGTGACACCAGGCGGTTTAAGGTAATTGCCACCGTTTGACAGGTGATCAGGAGCGCACAGTGTCATTGTGACACTGCCTTGTCTCTCGCTCGCCAGCGCAGAGCAACAGCCAGAGAAATGAATGGAGGAGGATTCCCCAGCTGGCAACACAGTTCATCAGAGCAGGGGGCTGTGATGTGCAATGCTGGGCTGAGTGTTTCAGCTGATGTATGTGGAGAGAGAAACAGAAGAGAACAGCAATACCCCAGAGACCCCTGTCACTGGGGACAAGCAACAACAACAACTTGGATTTATAGAGCGCCCTCCACGCCGGACGGCGTCTCAGAGCGCTTTACAGTAACGGATCCCGTGACCGAGCCAGGTGTGGGGGGGGGGAAGGTGACCAAAGGAGCGGTCGAAAAGAAAGGTCTTCAGCAGAGACCTGAAAATGGGAAGGGAAGCGAGATGAAGGGAGTGAGGAAGGCAGTTCCAGAGCCTTGGGGCTTAGTGGCTGAAAGCACGGCCGCTGACGGTGGAGCGGAGGACTCGGGGGATGAGGAGGAGGCTAGACCCGGAGGAACGAAGGCAACGGGCACTGTTTTGAGGAGAGAGGAGGTCAGAGAGGTGGGGGGGGTGCAGAGGAGTGCAGGGACTTAAATACAAGGGTGAGGATCTTGAAATCGATCCTCTCTGGGATAGGCAGCAGTGCAGTCTGGCAAGGACTGGGGTGATCGGAGTTTCGTGCGGACCAGGATTTAATTCCCGTTTCTACACAGTCTGGCTGGTTCAATCCTCGCGTTTCACCCACAAAATACACAGTGTCAAGTGTATTCACTGGATACACTTGACAGCGTATCCTGTGAAGCGCTTTGAGATGTCGCTATATAAAATGCAAGGATTATTATTAATTTTTAAAGGCTGTGCAGAGTCGTGAACAATTATGATATCTATTCTTGGTTTAGACATGGTTCTTTTCAAGAAATTTGCTGGGTGGGGTGGGTGGAATCAGCATTCCTTTCCAAATGAGGACTGGATTTAAGAGATCACCAGTATTCCCTCTCGCCCTACTCTTCACAGTAATAATATTATAATAATCCTTGCATTTGACATAATGCCTTGTCACGTCATTGAGACATCTCCAAGTGCTTCACAAAATATACTGTGAAGTGAATTGCCTGTGTATATTCTGGCTAAACGAGGAGATTGTTGTTGGAGTAAGATTATCGGTTGTTGAGGAGGTTCTCATTGGAAGGGGCAGTCGTTCAACAGTAACTTGTTCAACACTAACACCAAATATTCCTCCGACGGCCTGAGATGGTGATGCTCTCTCTGTCTCTGTCTCTCCAAACGCTTCCCCTTGGTGCTGTGCTGCACGATTGTCCTTTGTACTCTGCTCTCACCCCTCCAACTGCATGTCCTGCATGTGCTGGTGCTGGTGCCCTGACCCCTGATGCCACTGTGACTTTTACCCTTAGCTCTGCTTTTCATCCCTGACTACCGCGTGGGCGAGGGACTTTGTAATAGACTGCCTCACAATCAGTCTCAGGATTTCAACACCACCAGTTCCCACAACAGCTCTGAACGAAGCCTCTCAGGTTGGTTCCTCATCACTAACACCTCCTATCCATCTTCCCCTCCCTCCGCACCCACCCCCACCATCACACCTCAACTTACCTTAATGACTCCTTTCCCACCAAAGAGACACTTGTCCCACTCGCCTTCCAACTGCCGGGAAGCCCTTTCCATTGGCTGGAAGCTGGAGGGCATCAATTTAAAAATCATCATAATAATAATCCTTGCATTTGATACAGCGCCTTATCACATCATTGAGGCGTCTCAAAGCGCTTCGCAGAATATACTGCAAAGTGGATTAATTGACTGTATATTTTGTGGGCGATCAATCTCATCAAATTAGGGGAACTTGTGGTCTCATAGGGGACGTACAAAAACAACAAGAAATTACACTTACACAGTGCCTTTCACGTTGGGAGGATGGCCCAAGACTCGGGATCGTCAGGATTTGGATCCAGGCTGAGGGTTGGGATCAGGCGGAGTGGAGGGGAGGACAGGTGACCAAGGTCGCGGTTGAAGAAGAGTCTTGATACAGGCCTTGAAGGAGACAAGGGAGGGAGCGAGAGAGACAAATTGTGGGATGGACTTCCAAAGGGTGGGGGCAGAAAAGACTGAAGGCCTGACCACCGATGGTGAGGAGGGCAAGGGACATGGAGCAGGCAAGGAACCCACTGAGCGGAGGGAACAGACAGGTCTGTGTAGAGTCAGCAGATCACAGAGTTAGGGAGGAGTAAGATCCCTGGATGGTTTTGAAGGCAAGGATTAGGATTTTGAACTCTAAAAAGATCTCGATAGGCTACGCACATGGGCTGATGACTGTCAAGTGAACTTTGATGCATATAAGAACAAGGTTCTACATGTAGGACACAAGAACAGGAAGGGTGGTTGAAGCCAGGACACTGGGACTCATTTAAAATCCAGAGTGACGGAAGATTGTAGGGTGGGCGTTCTGAGATAGGGATGAGATAGGTGAGCTGAAGTGTCTTAATTAGAACAGATCGGGTGAACAGTAAAAGTAAATGAAGTTCCGTAATGTCGTGGTTAGCACGCTGGCTTCGCAAGCGAGAAGACTCAGGTTCAATTCCCGGGAGGGCGAAACCTTAGGAAAGTTTCCTTACTCTACACGCCTGTTTACTTAGCAGTAAGTAGGAACCCGGTCGTTAGTCATTTGGCGGTTCACTTTCCGGGGATAAGAAGCCCTTTTTAAAAAAAGCGCTTTGAGACATCTCAATGACGTGATAAAGCACTGTATCAAACACAGGGATTATTATTATTGTTATTATTAATAACTTGGAAGTTTTGTGCTCCCCCTCTCATTGCTGACTTGCCGACCGGTGGAAATGATCGATTCCAATCTATCTCAATGACGTCTCAACGACGTGATAAGGCGCTACATCAAATGCAATGATTATCATTATTGTCTCATCATTCTCCAGCACAAACTTTCTGACAATCATCAAAGTAAAATCACTACAAACACCAAGGATAGTGATTGATTGGGAAGCCCAGTTGATTGGGTGGATGAACATCTGGCTTGTGTCTCTTTGAGTCATTTTGGCATCGAGTTCTCTTTGCTTCTCTAACAATGGGTTAATTCCTTCAGCCGAGCTTCCTTGGTGATGGGACATCAGCTTTGTATTGAATTCCTCTCTCTCTCTCTCTCTCTCTCTCTCTTTCTCCCTCTCGCTCTGATGTGAATAGTTGGAGCTCTCACGCCTTGGAGTCAGGAGGTCATGGGTTTGAGCCCCAAGTCGGGGAATTTGTGCTGCGGTGGGGGTGGGGGGAGGGAGAGGGCATTGTCACTGGTGGTGTCCTTTAGGTGGGATGTTAAACCGAACTCCCATCTGTTGCCTGTTCAGGTAGACGTTAAAGATCCCGATTCTGTTGGAAAAGAGAAGGAAGTTTCTCTCTCCCGGTGTCCGGGCCGACAATCCTCCAGATAAAATCACATTTTACCTTATGATGGTGTGCGTACAGGCTTGTGCCCAAATGTCCTGTCTTGTTTGGCTACAAAAACAGTTACTACATTGAAATGTGAAGAGTTCGGACAACGTTTTGATGCTACAGGCACCATAAAAATGTAAGGCTTATTTTGCTCAAAGCTAATCCCTTCCTCTAAGTATAGCAACAAGAACAACTTGGATTTATACAGCATCCCTCATGCAGGGTAGAGTCTTAGAGTGTTTGACTGTGGCAGAGCACGACGCTGAGCTGGGGAGAGTTTAGCCAAATATAGTTTGTGCGTATCTCTTCCCCTCCCCTCAAACCCCTCTGTCTGCCATCTCCTTCGCTTAGGAAAGGAGACATTTCACATAGCAATTACCCTTGCTTTTGATCCAGCGCCTTATCACGTCGTCGAGACGTCTTCTAAGCCCTTCATAGGAATTACTGTAAAGTAAGTCCGTAAATTGACTGTGTATTTTGTGGGCGAAACGCGGCAGCCAATTTTGCGCACAGCAAAACATTCCGCAAACAGCCATGGAGTGAGCGAGCAAATTCATCTGTGGAATTGTTGGCCAGGACACCTTCGCTTTTCCAATAGTGCCTTGGGATCTTTAGGCAGGCAGGAGATAACGCTAAAACCCCCAAGTTCTGCCCAGTCTTTGCCTGTGAGCTAATTCAACTCGGTTTGAATTTGAAAGCCAATTTTTCTCTGTTTCTTAAAGAGAAGCCAGCGTGCGAAGCTATGATGAGGTTGAAGCAATTTCTATCATCTGAAATTTTAAGATAAATGGTCTGACAGGCTGAGGCCAGGTGGAATTTCAGACCTTGAACCGGATTGAGAAAGTAAACCCAGACCAAAACTGAATCAGTTCAAATTTTCAAGACTGAGCAAGGTGGATAGATGTTTGTTAGGGAAGGATGTCAAGGGTTATGGAGCAAAGGCAGGTAAATGGAGTTGAGGTACAGATCAGCCATGATCAGGGTCCAGGGGCTGAATGGCCTCTTCCTGTTGAAAAGTGAACTGGATGAAACCTTGGTCTTTTGCCTTGCAAATTCTTATGTTCCTCTGCAATACTGTCAGATACACCCAAACAGCAGGACAAGGGAACACAGGGTCAGAGGCAATCACAGAACAGTCAGTCACCAGAATGCCTTCACCCAGAGGGGAATAACGGCAGGAAGTGGGGTCACCAGGAATAGTTGATTGAGGCCGGAATGCTGGGTTATAGCCATAAGAAACAGCTCAATGTTGGGAGAGTTGGGAGGACGGGCGGGCGGGGAATGGGAGGGATGAGATCAGATGGGCCGAAGGGTCTTCACCGGAACCAGGCTCGTGATTCTCGTGACCACGCCTCGCTGGCTCTCGTCACTTGTGGGGTTTCTGTTCGTGATGAATAACGCTTCCCTCGCCGTGGTTACAGGCGGCAAGAGTGGGAAAAAGAAGAAAAATAAGACGAGCACTAAATCCCACAAAACCACCGGCTCCAGCTGGTCCAACATGCCGCTGCCCCCACCCCCCATCCAGCCGCTTCCCGGGACCGAGATTGACATCTACGGAGTGGACTTCCTGGAAACCGGGTAAGAGCTACTCCTGACATTCCACAAACCTGGTTTGGTCACCCGGGTGTCTGACCCGCCCAGAAGCCCATCGCCGTGATCAGCCGGGTGTCTGACGCGCGAGGAAATCCGTCACCGTGATCAGCCGGGTGTCTGACACGCATGGAAACCCGTCACAATGCTTAGATTATCCAAACCACACTTGAGAGCTCCTGGTCTACCATCCACTACATGGAAATTCCTGTTTCTCTCGCCATACATCCTGCTTACCTAATTCTGGAGAGTATTAGGGCAGGTTGGCAAGAGCCAAGGCTTGGGGGACCCCAGAGGGTGCGTTGGGGTAACTGCTGGGATCTAATCAGCTAAAACCACATAGCTTGCCATTGATAGCAGTGTGTCTGGCAAGCTTTCCCGCTGCTTGTCCAACTAGGACCACCCTACCCTTGGCTTGCAGGATTAACAGGAGCTGAGTGGGAGGATTCCCTGCCCCCAGTTGATTGGTACCATTCATAAATTATAGGAAACATAAACTACAGGAAACAGCCTCTCTACCCCCACACTCTGGAACTCCATCCCACGGTCCCTCCGCCTCGCTTCCTCCCTTGCCTCCTTCAAGGCCGGTCTCAAGACCCTTCTCTTCGACCGTGCCTTTGGTCTCCCTCCCACCTCTCTGCCTTCGCTCAACCCTACGCCACCCCCCACCTCCCCCATGCTCGGGCCCTGACACCTGACTGTTCAGCGCTTTGGGACGTCCTCCCGACGTGAAAGGCGCTCGCTCTATAAATGTAATTTTGTTGTTGTTGTTGTTGTTGTTCAGCAATGGCCACTAGATGGCAGTATTGTGGCTGTGTCATATATTGTGCTGTCAGCATCTAGTGGTGGATAGTAGATATTGCAGGGACAGCGAAATATGCTCACGCTATGAGAATCTACTACCCATGTGGCTGTAAATGGAAGGAGTACGGGCAGAGAGTGAAGTAAGCCAGCAGCCTGGGTAACCAGTGTGTCAGCTTGGCTCAGTCACTCAACGCCTCGTGTCTGAATCAGAAGGTTGTGGGTTCAAGCCCCACATCGAGAACTTTGAGCTCACAGTCCAGACTGACGCTCCCCACAGTGCTGTGGGGAGAGCTGCACTGCCAGAGACGCCGTCCTACGGGTGAGACATTAAACTGAGGTCCGGTCTGCATGTTCGGGTGGACGTTAAAGAAAAAAGAAACATAAACACTAGCCCTATATTCTCTAGAACATAGAAGAATTAGCGGTGATCTTCTAGAAACCTATAAGATTCTTAGAGGTCTTGACAGGGTAGACAGCGTGAGACTGTTTCCCTTGGTTGGAGAATCTAAAACTTCTGGTCATAGTCTCAGGATTAAAGGTCAGCCTTTTAGAACTGAGTTGAGAAAACATTTCTTTCCTCAGAGGGGAGTGAATTTATGGAATTCTCTACCCCAGGAGGCTATGGATGCTCAGTCCTTGAACATATTCAAGACTGAGATCGATAGATTTTTAAAAACTAAAGGGATTAAGGGATATGGGGAAAGGGCAGGTAAATGGAATTAGGTTAGAAGATCAGCCATGATCTTATTAAATGGCAGGGCAGGCTCGAGGGGCCGAATGGCCTATTCCTGCTCCTATTTCTTATGTTATTGTTTTCTTAATTAAACTGCTGGAAAGGAATAGCAATGAGAGAAACACACCCGTGCACACACACAGACTGAGAGAGCGAGACACACGCAGACAGAGAGAGAGAGAGACACATACACACAGACCGAGAGAGAGACGACACACACAGACACAGAGACAAGAGAGAAACACAGACAGAGAGAGATGTGCATACACAGACAGACAGAGACGAACAGAGCGACACGCACAACACATACACATGCAAGCATGCGGGTGCACACGCATGCACAACAGGGAAAGAGAGACAATTACGGACACACACAGAATGAGATAGAGAGAGAGAGATACACACAGGCACACAGATACAGACCACGACACACATGCACACACACACACACACAGCTATGCCGTACTGACCTGTCCACTGTCTCGCTTGCCCTTACCCTAGGTATGAGAGTGATGGCTGGTGCCCACCGCCGCCGGTAAAAACCTACCTGCACCAGGGTCTGGAGGACGAACTGGAGGAGGAGGACCGTGTGCCCACACCCCCTGTGCGAGGCGTGGCCTCCTCCCCGCCATCTCCTTCGGGCAGCAGTCCACGGCCACGCTGACCCCCTCTCCCCGGGAAGAGCTACAGCCCATCCTGCAAGCCCACCTAGAGGAGATCAGCCGGGCGTATCACTTCGACATCAACCGCCAGGCCTGGTGAGCAACACTCCCCCCCCACCACCCCCCGATCCCCTTCTCGCCCCCCTTTCTCCCCCCACCACAACCGCCATCAGAGTCCCGTAACGTAGTGGTTAGCGCACTCTCCTCGCAAGCAAGAGGACCCGCGTTTGATTCCCAGGCGTGGCGAAGCTTTAGGCAAGTTTACTAACCGCACACGCCTACGTTTACCTGCAGTAAGTAGGAACACAGTTGTTAGCCGATTGGCAGATCACTTTCTGGAATAATAATTCCTTCAAAACAAATAAAAATCTGGTCACTCGATCCACAAGTGTTTGTGGGACACTGCTGTGCACAATTGGCTGCCGCGTTTCACCCACGAGATACACAATATTTTACAGTGAACCTCTTTGAGACGTCTCAACGACATAAGGCGCTGTATCAAATACAAGAGTTATTATTATTATTATTAGAGGTGTGGGGGAAAAGATCAGGGAATTAGCATTGCAATAGATGGCTTCAATGAGGGAGTGAATGCCAACACCAGACAGCCTCCTATTGTACGATATGTTCCTGTGGTTCTTCTAAACTGCGGGGAAAATTAGTTCCCAAAATTAAGACCGATTGGATTCCAGAATTGCACTGTTTGGAGCAGACTGAGGAATATCAAGCCTGGTGACACGGAATGATGTGCTCGTATCACACGTCGCATTTTTTCACCCCGTCATTTCTTTCACCCTTCGCCACGCTGCATGCAATTAACTTGACGAACCTCCGTTGCCACGGCTAATTTTAACATCGCACGGATGTGTGATTTAACAGGACACGGCTCTCTCTCTCTCTCTCTCTCTCTCTGGGAAACAGAGCGTGTGTCTCTGCCAGCAATCGGTGCCAGAGCAACTCAAGTTCCTTATTCACAACCAGGAAAAATAACATTAAACAGTGTGAGAGGAGAGAGCAGGGAATGGGATTAGAGTAGAGCGCTCCAGTGGGGGAGGGAGCACCAGCACAGACACAATGGGGTAAGGTTCTGGGTTCCAGCGTCACAACCTCAATGTTGGGGACTCTGAGCTCACAGTCCAGCTGATGCTCTAATGGCGCTGAGTGGGGGGATGTTGGGGTGGGGGGTTTGCATTGTCGGAGGCCCCGTCCTTCCGATGGAAGCGTTAAACCGAGGTCCCGTCTGCCTGTTCAGGTGGACATTATAGATCCCATGTTGCTGTTGGAAAAGAGGAGGGAGTTTCTGTCTCCCGGTGTCCTGGCCAACAATCTGTCTGTATGTGTGTGGGCGCATGTCTGTAAATGTGTGTGTGTGCGTATCTTTATGAATGTCTGTGTGTTTATACAATACAGTACAAAATGACATTTGTACAGCGCCTTTCATGTCAGGAGAACGTCCCAAGGTGCTGGGCAGTCAGGGATTTGGACCCGAACTGGGGGTCGGGATTGGGGAGGGTGGCCAAAGGCCCGGTCGAGAGGAGGATTTTGAGACGCGCCTTGAAGGAGGCGAGGGAAGGAGTGAGGCAAAGGGAATGTGGGATGGAGTTCCATAGGGTGGGGGCTGAAGGCCCGGCTGCCCATGGTGGACTGCGCCTGGCGGAGCAGACCAGAGCCTGATGAGCGGAGGGAGCAGACAGGCTGATATGGAGTCAGCAGGTCTCAGAGGTAGGGAGGGCCAAGGTTCCTGGAGGGTTTTGAAGGCAAGGACGAGGATTTTCAATTCTATTCTCTGGGGGATGGGGAGCCAGTGCAGCCTGACAAGGATGAGGGTGATGGATCTCGGAGCCTGGTGCGGGAGAGGACACGAGATGCAGAGTTCTGGGTGATCTGCAGCTTGTGGAGGGAAGAGTTGGGGAGGCCGACAAGCAGGGAGTTGGCATACTCGAGCCTAGATGTGATGAATGCATGGATGAAAGTTTCAGCAGCCCTGGGGGGTGAGGCAGTGGCGTGGCCTGGCAATATTGTGGTGGTGGGGGAAGACATGAGTGTGTGTGTGTGTGAGTATTGGGGGGAACCTTAATGTTTGCCAAGCAGCTGCCACGATTGCCTATGCAAACACACCGACTAAGCTGCCTTCAGCGAGCTGTGAAGGGGTGTGAGTGTCAGGCAGTGAGGAGGTTAGCGAAGCCGCTGTGTGAGTGGCTGAGACTGTCCTGTTTGCCTCCCGTCTGACACACAGGCACGTACAGAGCCACCCAGTGCCACCCCAAGCCCCTGCCCTGCCTCTGGGCTACATCTCCGGGGCCCTGATCTCCGACATCGAGACTGACGTGCCCGAGGAGGAGGAGGAGGATGAGGAAGACGAGGAGCTGGCTCGCCCTCTGCGGGGGATGGAACACACTCCGGCCTCCAGCATGGACAACCTGGAAAGCTCAGTGACAGGTAGGAAACCCCTTCCCGTGTCAGGGGAGTCCCGCAGCGTAGCAGTTAGCGTGCTCGCCTCGCAAACCAGAGGACCCGGGTTCCATTCCAGGCAGGACGAAACCTTAGGCAAGATTTACATTGTATTCTGCTAAGCCCGTGACTTGGTCGGGGGTTTCTCGGGGTTGGTGGGAGGGAGAGAGGAGGGGGAGAAGGTGGGAAGGAATCTCGTCACTCAAAGAGGCTGGTCAGCATTGGGAATTCATTTCACGAGAGGTTATCAAGGCCGGATCAATAGAACGCTTCAAAGGGGACCTGGATAAACAGCTGATCAGTAAAACCGGTGGGGAGAGGGATAGAAAGTGAGAGAGAGAGATAGACGGAGTGAACGAGACAAAGAGAGTGAGGAGACAGAGAGTGGGAGCGAGGCAGAGAGTGGGAGCGAGGCAGAGAGTGGGAGCGAGGCAGAGAGTGGGAGCGAGGCAGAGAGTGGGAGCGAGGCAGAGAGTGGGAGCGAGGCAGAGAGTGGGAGCGAGGCAGAGAGTGGGAGCGAGGCAGAGAGTGGGAGCGAGGCAGAGAGTGGGAGCGAGGCAGAGAGTGGGAGCGAGGCAGAGAGTGGGAGCGAGGCAGAGAGTGGGAGCGAGGCAGAGAGTGGGAGCGAGGCAGAGAGTGGGAGAGACCAGTAAGATAGAGGGATAAAAAAAGACAGAGAAAAACAGGGAGCAAGCGTGGACGTGGATTTATAACAGGTAAGACTCCGGGGAGAGGTGAGCAGACACCTCACTGTTCTGAAGAGTTTACATTTTTATTATTATTATTATTATTACATTTATCTAGGCTTTTATTGGCACCTCACCACCACCAAACCACCACACCCCACCCACCCCCCCCACCAACGTCTTAAAATTAGAATTTGACTGTATTCCAAGAGCAGAGGTAACATTTTTTGAGTCAGTGTATGATCACAGTCAGTGTGTGTGAGATCAGTCAGTGTGTGTGTGTGATCATAGTGTGTGTATTAGTGTGATCATAGTTAGTGTGAATGATCACAGTCTGTGTGTGTGTGTGTTAGTGTGATCACAGTCAGTGTGTGTGTGTGTGTTAGTGTGTGTGTGAGCATAGTTTTTTATGTATTAGTGTGATCATAGTTAGTGTGTATGATCACAATCAATGTGTATGATCAGTCAGTGTTTGTGTGTGTGTATTAGTGTGATCACAGTCTGTGTGTGTGTGACCACAGTCTGTGTGTGTTCACAGTCTGTGTGTGTGTGTGTGTGTGTGTGTGCCCGCCACCCCCACAGCCGGCCCGCCACCCCCACAGCCGGCCCGCCACCCCCACAGCCGGCAAGTACAGTCTCAGCCGATAACCTTGGGGATTCTACAGGTTCAGGTTGAGTGTGTGAGGTGGATTATGCAAGGTTGAGTGTGTGAGTGTGCGAGGTTGAGGGTGCGAGGTTGAGTGTGTGAGGTGGATTATGCGAGGTTGAATGTGTGAGAGTGCGAGGTTGAGTGTGCTAGATTGAGTGTGCGCGGTTGAGTGTGCTAGGTTGAGTGTGCGCGGTTGAGTGTGCTAGATTGAGTGTGCGCGGTTGAGTGTGCGCGGTTGAGTGTGCGCGGTTGAGTGTGCGCGGTTGAGTGTGCTAGATTGAGTGTGCAAGGTTGAGTGTACTAGATTGAGTGTGCGAGGTTGAGTGTGCTAGATTGAGTGTGCGAGGTTGCAGATGTGAGCCATATTTGAGGGGGAGAGAGAGAGGCACAGACGGCCCAGTGGAGTGGCCCAGATGAGTGGAGCTGTGTCTGATGTGAGACTGATTTAATCAACGGCAGATTATTTATTTAATCCCCTCCAGTTCCCGAGTGCTCAGCCTGTCTCGGGGAAGAATGTCTTACTTCAGGAGACAGAAGATTTTAAATCAACTTTACTGCCGCCTGAGCACAAAGACAACTTATTCCCCTGATCTCTCCTCCCTCAATCCCTTCTCCTAATCTCTCTATCCCTCCATCTCTCCAAATATCTCCTCCATTACGCTCTCCTCCTGATCTCTCTATCCCTCCATCTCTCTTTCCCTCAACCTCACCTCTTGATCTCTCTAACCCTCGCCCTCTCCTTCTGATCCCTCTATCACTCAATCCCTTCTCCAGATCTCTTTGTCCCTCCATCTCTCCTGACTTCTCAGCACATTTTCTTTTTATGAGTCCGTATTTCTCCCATTATCTATCTCCCTGTCACAATGATCACAGTGAACCTGTGAGGAAATGGCACGATGTTCCACCTGTAACATCACAGCAGCTCACAGGACCACAGGCCTCTTAAGATCATGACTCTCCCCACACACAGCTCGTTTCTCTCTGAGATGGCTAATCACAGTTGTGGCAAATTAATCTGTTCCTTTTCAATTTAGTCAGTTGACGTAGTGCCCCGTAGCTCAGCGGTTAGAGCACTCGCCTCGCAAGCGAGAGGACCCAGGTTCGATTCCCGGGCGGGGCAAAACCTTAGGCAAGTTTCCTTACTCCACACGCCTAGTAGGAACCAGTAGTTAGTCGATTGGTGGATCGCTTTCGAGGAGTAATAATCCCCCCCCAAAAAAAATAAAGAAACTTGGTCGCTCAATCCATGACTGTTTGTGGGACACTGCTTGTGCGCAATTGTCTTCCGCGTTTCACCCACAGAATACACAGTCACTCCACTTCACAGTGTATTCTGCAAAGTGTTTGAGAAGTCTCAATGATGTGATAAGGCGCTGTATCTAATACAAGGATTATTATTAATAAGCTGTGGAGAAAAAGCAAGCGTGTGGTAGCCTTTTCTACCATTGTTACCGTGTTAAGTGTTGCGTTCTTATCCTCATGGCCTCCTTCTGTACCGTAAATTCCTGTTTCTATGATTCTGAGATGGCACAGTGACAGTAATAACAAGGTTGTGGGTTCAAGCCCCCATGTCGGGATTTGGAATCACATAGTCTAAGCTGACGCTCCAATACAGCACTGGGGGGGGCGGGGTATTGCATTGCAGAGGTGCCGTCCTTCAGATGAGACATTAAACCGAGGTTCCGTCTGGGAAGGCATTTTTCTCTCCTGGTGTCCTGGCCAACAATCACCCAAATGAAATTGGTCACTTATTCCACAACTGTTTGCGGGACACTGGTGTGCGCAACTGGCACCCGCGCTTCACCCGCAACAATCCCCCGAACCAAATTGGTCACGCATGTTTCGTGGGGCACTGCGGTGCGCAATTGGCTGTGGCGTGTATTTTGGCCACGAAATACTGCGCTTTACAGTAAGCGCTTTGAGACGTCTCAACGACGCGATAAGGCGCTATACCACGCGCCAGGATTATTATTATTATTATTACGAACGAGAGTCTTGCCGAGAAGTGCAGTGACTGTGTGCGTGTTGGTGGGCCACGATGTTGAGACAGAGGACGGTGATGGTGATGGTGACGGGTTGTCTCTCTCTCTCTCTCTCTCTGAGACGTCGCTCCACTCCTCTGATCGGACCCTTGCCTTTACTTTTAGGTTCAATGATTAACGGCTGGGGCTCGGCCTCAGAGGATGAGCATGCTCTGTCCAGCCGCCAGTCTAGTGCAGCCAGCAGCTCCTCCACAGAATCCATTGTTACTGACGGAGGCTTTGCCCAGGCACTGGCTGTGGCCGCTGACCGAGCTGGTTACACGTTCCAGGGCACCCGCCTGGTCCACACAGGTTCGTAAGCCAAAACCTCTGCACTGGAGAGCTCACCTCAGCTCCTCTCTGCCTACTCGCTACCTGACAGCAAATTCTGACCTCACCAGCTCACTATCTACTTGCTACCTGGGTGCAAACTTATCCGCTACCAGGGAGAGGGTAGGAGAGCAGAGGAGGTCCATCTGCTCACTCTCTCTTCCTCTCTCTCTCTCTCTCTCTCTCTCTCTCTCTCTCCTCTCTCTCACACTCTCTCGCTTTCTCTCGTGTTGAAGGTTTCAGGAGATCTTCCTTCTCCGTCAAGGGCTGCTTTGTTCCACTTCGCTCCGCTCTGCTTGGCCGGGATCAATCCTGCTTGTAGCCAAGGAAGCCAGGAGAGAGGTCCACCTTCTCCGTTCACCGCTCTGCTGTGCTCTGCCAGGATCAGTCTTGACGCTGGCTTGGCTCTTTTCCGGTTTATCCTCTTCCTACATTTTTCCATGTGCTTCTGGTATCCTGATGCCTTCTGGCCTTACAGTGACCTTGGAGTATGAGGTTGGCTTGAATTTCGTTCTGGTCTTGTACTTACTTGGGATTGAGTCAATTTACTGTGTTTTACATTGGGTTCCCCCAACCCCCCTCCCACCCCCCTCAAACCACCACCCAAATATATGTGATTAAAGGTCATGGAGCCCCACGTCGGGGGCATTGAGCCCGGAGTCCGGGCTGACGCTCCAGTGCAGTGCTTGGGGGAGAGAGCGTCGCATTTTTTGAGGCCGTGCTTCAGATGAGCCTTCAAGTCCATGCCCTGTTCAGGTGGATGTTAAAGATTCCACAGCGCTGTTTGGAACAGAGAAGGGAGTTTCTCCCAACGATTCTCCAAATTAATTAGTCCTCACCTCATGGTGGATGTGTGCGTTTAGTATATGTACATATGTAGGGTTTGCGCATGTGTGTGGGGTGGGGTATGTGTATAACGTGAGTGGGACTAGTTGGGTAGCTCTTTCAAAGAGCCTGCACAGGCACGATGTGCCGAATGGCCTCCTTCTGTGCTGTAAGATTCTATAATTCGAGGTCAGAGGGCTGGGAATTACAACTTCAAAGTTCTGCCTGACATTTAATAAGATCACCCTCCATATTGGGTGGGGGAGTGGGGGGAAAGAGAGTTGGGGTTGGACAAGTTCAGTATTTTGTGTGAAGAAACGCCGAACTGATCTGCAACGAGGAGACTGAGAGAGGGGATGTGATCGAGGTCTTACAACAGTCTATCGGGCCATCGTGGCAAATGGAGAAAAAAATCTCTATATTTGGAGAGCGGGTGATGAGGGCATTCAATGTCAAGATTGTTAGCAGGGAATCAGGGCGAGGCGAGAGGAAAATTGGTCATTCAGAGACTGGTCAGCGTTTGGGAATTGATTCCCATGGGCGGTGATCGAGGCTGGATAGATAGAATGATTCAAAAAAAGGGACCCGGATAAATAGCTGGTCAGTAAAAACAGCTATTTGTGTTGAAGACAGAGACAGAGCTGGGAGGTACATGGTGTTCACAAAGTACTGTTACCTCTATATTATTATCCCTACAGTGCACTGACCTACACAACTGGAACACGTGGAAGAATGATGATAATTCTATTTAGAAGTACTTCATTATATTCAGTATAAGTGGAGTCCTGCAGCTTAGGGTTTAGAGCACTCGCCTCGCAAGCGAGAGGATCTGGGTTCAACTCCCGGGTGGGGCAAAACCTTAGGCAAGTTTCCTTACTCCACACGCCTCTGTTTACCCAACAGTAAGTAAGAACCAGGCTGTTAGTCGATTGGTGGATCGCTTTTCCGGGGGTAACAATCCCTTCAAAAAATAATCACTCCATCCACGACTGTTTGTGGGACACTGCTGCCCGCAAAGGGTTGTTGTGTTTCGCCCACAAAATATACAGTTAATTCACTTCACAATATATTCCGTGAAGAGCTTTGAGGCGTCTCGAAGATGTGAAAAGGCGTATATCAAATGCAAGGATTATTATTATTAACTGTAGTTAGATGTCCAGGGCATGGGTGTGAGTGAGCGAGCGCCGTCATTTTCACAGTAGGTAATGATCCTTTCGGGCCCACATCTTCCGTAACACGGAATGGAGTGAGGAGGAAGTTACTGGTCTTGGACGTTGTTACCCTCCACTCATCTGCAACAGAAAAATCCCCAAATTCATAAGGGAAAAACACACAGGGGAGCAACGGGACTTTGCGAACACCCTGTAGATTTATAACGAAAGGGAGAATCCAGTGGAATGGGCTCACTGCGCAGAGTTTCTGTGGGTGGAATTTGCGTTGCTTTCTAATGAGGTTCCTTGCGAGCGGCATGAGTTCTGGTGAGAGGGTCCCTGTTTCTGCCTGACCCTCCGAGTCCCACCGTCTGCGCGGTCGGGTTGGTCGTGGTGGTGGTGGTGGTGTTCCCGGCTGGTTTCTGATGGGAAACTGGGAATTGACCGAGTTGTGACCGTTTCTAACCAGGAAAGCCCCGCGATCACTTGCCGTCCCTTCGCTCCCCTCCCACAGGCAAGAGTTACCCCGGGTCTTCGCGGCCCCGCCCCTCCAGCCCCTTCTCCACGGACAGCAGCCTGGGCCCCCCGCAGAGCCACCGGCCCCCCCGAACCTCCAAAAAACACAAGTCCTCAGGGGGCCGGGCGGAGCAGCCCTCAGTGACCCACAGCAGGGAGGCCGGTGCGGACGGTAAGTGACTTTTTTGCGGGCCGGGGATGTGTTTCATCCGGGTCTCTTGACACATACGGAAACCCATTACCGACTTAAGAGTCTCCAAACCAAGCTGAGAATTCCATGCATCCCACCTACACATGGAAATCCCAGAGGTAGATTGTTGGAATGAAATGTGCACTCTCTCCCTGGAGGGGCGCCTCCTGCTTACCTAATTCGGAAAAGTATTAGGCGCAGGTTGGCAAGAGCCAAGGCTTGGGGACCCCAGAGTTTGTGTTGGAGTAACTGCTGGAGTCTAACCAGCTAAAACCGCATAGCTTGCCATTGAGGGCAAGGTTTCCCGCTGCTTGTCCAGCTAGGACCACCTTCGACCCGTTAGGGCATTGGCTTGCAAGGTTAACAGGAGCTGAGGGCATGATCCCCTGCCCCCAGTGACTGGACTGCCCTTCCACGTCCTGCCGATGAGTCAGGCTGGGCTGTGCTGTGATCAGCAGTGATCAGGAACAGGACTAGTGACCGTCTAACCCGAGGGCTGGCTCGATTCAGACATTCTGTTTCCAACATGACATCCCGGGGCCAGTTCAGCTCCAGGGGGACCTCATATACCTACCCCCTACCCCTCTAGCATGTGACTGGCACACCCAGGGCCAAACACCCCGTCAGTCTCTCTTCCCGGCCAGATCCGTGTATCACTAACTGTTCGTACTCTACTGATATTCCTCCATCTCCCTGGTACTGTGGGCCTGGCAGAGCTCAGTTTGTGGAGAAGCCAGACACTAACACTGTGCTTGTTTGTGGTTCAGATCTGCCTCCTCCTCCGGACCCCCCTCCGTGCCAGGGGGTGAGGCTGCAGCCCAGCCCAGGGCAGAAAGTACCGGGCACGGGCAACAGCAGTGACAGGAGCTGTAGCTCGCTGGAGAGGCAGCCCTTCATCTGTTTGGAAGACAGCAAGAAGTCGCTGGAATGGCAGGCACAGGAAAAGATCGCATCCCTCGAACGCAACGACGCCTTCCAGAGCAAACTGCAACCCAAACTATCGCTGGACTCAGGTAGGAACGAGCCTGCCTCTGCTTCCACACTGATGTTCCTTCAGTTCCCTGATTGTCAGCCCTTTACTGGGATGATCCCAGGGAGAAGAGAAGGGATGAAGGGAAGAGCGAAGGAGGTGAGGAGTCCTGTAGAGTGTAGGAGGAAGGAAAGAGCCAGGGAGTTGAGGAGTCCTTTAGAGTGTAGGAGGAAGGGAAGAGCAAGGGAGGAAGGGAGGCTGAAGGACTCTGTACTTTCTGCTGCCCGTGTTGCTGATGGCCTTGTTCTGCACACAGAGGAGATGCTGATCCCATACAGCAAACCCAGCTTCCCATCACCGGGACACCTGAGTGGACACAGCTCGTCGGGAACAGCCTCGTCTAAGGGATCGACCGGACCCAGGAAAGGGGTGGGCTCGCGGGGCGGTCCTGTCCTCGGTGGACACCAGCGTAACATCAGCGACCTGACAGACCTAGGATATTTGGGTTCCATTGGCCAAGGGCAGCACTCGGGGGATGTATGTAAGTATCGGCACTCTGCGATGACTCACAGCTCAAAATATCCTTCGGAAATCTGACAGCCGCCGTCGTTTTGGAAACCTTTTCAAAATCAAGCCTTTGTTGGAAGCTATATTTGTTTATAATCCAACACCAATCCTTGTAAATGATACAGCACCTTATCACATCGTTGAGATATAATAATGATAATAATCCTCGCATTTGATTTAGCGCTTATCACGTCTTCGAGACATCTCAAAGCGCTTCACAGAATATACTGTGAGGTGAATTGACTGTATATTTTGTGGGTGAAACCCGGCAGCCAATTGAACGTAGCAGTGTCAAACAAACGGTCATGGATTGAGAGACCAAATTATTATTTTTTTAAGATTATTTATGTTTTGAAGGGACGATTGCCCCCAGAAAAGCGTTTCCAACAATCGACTTATCAACCAGGTTCCTACTTACTGCTAGGCAAACAAGAGGCGTGTGGAATAAGGAAACGTTTTGCCCTTCCTGGGAATCAAACCTCTCGCTTGCAAAGCGAGTGCTCTAACCACTAACCTACAGGACTCCAAGTCTAAAATATCAAACTTGTAGAACAATTTAACGTGATTGTTAACGTGATGGTTTACATGAGATGAGGTGTCCTGTAGAGTATAGGAGGAAGGGACGAGCGAGGGAGGTGAAGAGTCCTGCAATTATAACATTGAATGTTATTTTCTACTTGTCTATTCTGTTTAGGGTCGTTCACAACATCACAAGGTCCCCACTGAGACGTCCCTTCAAGGCTGATAAGCCTGGCATTATTGAGTCTGTGATTGTATGTAACTGACTGGGTGTCTGCTCTCCACACAGAGTGAATGAAGAGCCATTTCCTGGCATGCCAAGGCACTGGATGGATGTAAAGCTGATAGACTGAGCGACACAAGCGGGGCATTGAAACCCGCTCCTTATTTAATGTATTATGGGACAGACTGTAAATGTAATGTAAAGTCTAAAGACACGACGACGTACTAGAGACACACTTCCCCATGTGGTTCTTAATCTGTTTGCCTCTTTCTCCCACCATCACCTCAATCACCACCTCTTCACCTCTGATTTCCCTCCCTCCCTCCCTCCTTTCCTCATCCATCTCCTGTCCCCCCCTCAGCCCACCCACCCCTCCCCCAAAAAGATAATTGACAGGGAAAATGAATATGTAAAATAGAATAAGAGGGTGGGAAAATGGGCTACGTGTTGTGATGGTTATCACATTGTAGGACATTCCACTCCTCAGATTCAAAATTCCACCCGGTCAGCCTGTGAGACCTTCAGCCCTGATATTCCATTTGTTCTTGGGCTATTTGGTCTTCAAAGTGAAGATCGGGTTGAAGTGTGGAGAATTCTGATTTGTAGCGTACGTGTACAAGCCAGTTCTTGATGCAGAATATCAATGGCAAACTATGTGGTATTAGCTGGTTAGACACCAGCAATAACCAAGGTCCCCCAAGCCTTGGCTCTTGCCAACCTGCGCCTAATACCTTCCGGAATTAGGTGAGCAGAATGAGCCCCTCCAGGGAGAGAGAGTTGCGGATTCCATTCCAGCAATCTATCTCTGGGCTTTCCATGGGTAGGTGGGCTGCATGGAAATCTCAGTTTGGTTTGGATGCTCTTAAGCACGGTGATGGGTTCCCGCATGTGTCAGACACCCGGCTGAGCTAAAAAAAAAAGCAATTCTTGATGCAGACAGGTTGACGAGTCCTGTGGTCACCTGCCCCATCATCACTGAACTGTCTGGCAGGCTGAGCGAGACTGGCTGGAATTTTAGGAGTTGGAGACGTACCAGGGAGTGACGACACTCTGGGGGGGAGGAGGGTGGTTGAGTGGGGGTGGGGGGTGGTCGGCCACAGCCTCCCTATACATCTTCAGGTAGCGCTTGAAGAACTTCCTCTTCAACCATGCTTACGGTCACACACACACACACACAGAACCAGCTCGGCAACAGGCTCCGGCTTGACAATGCAGCAACAACAACTTGCACTTGTATAGCGCCCTCCACACAGGGTAGCGTCTCAGAGCGCTTAACAGTGGCGGAGCCTGACTCCCAGCCGGAGTGGAGAGGTGGCCGAAAGAATGGTCGAAGAGGAAGATTTGCAGGTGGGATTTGAAAAAGGGGAGAGAGGGGTCAAGGTGGAGGGATTGAGGGAGGGTGTTCCAGAGTTTCAGGGCGTAGTCACTGAAAAGTGCGGCCTCCGATGGTGGGGCGGAGGGTACGGGGACGAGCAGGAGACCGGTACCAGTCGAGCGGAGGTGCCGGGTGGTGGATTGGGGAGTGAGGAGGTCTGAGAGGTAGGGAGGTGCCAGAGAGTGAAGGGATTTGAAGACGTGTGAGGATCTTGAAGTCGAGCTGCTTGAGCAGGGGAATCTAAACGCAAGTAGTAGTTGTCCTGCCGTCAAGCGGATTTCGGCGTTTCCCCACCGGTCCTGGCTCAACTCGACCATTAAAACATCCCCCGGTGATAACGAACACATCACGTAGCACATTGTTGGCAAACGGTTGCCCTCTGAGAGAGAGGGAGGGAGGGAGAGAGAGGAGGGATTTCCTGTGTAAATAATTTGTGTTGTAGCATTGCTATGCAATCTCACCTCTTTGTCTTTTCCCCATCCCCGTTACGGTCTGTTTATCAATGGTTTATTGTACTATATGTGAATTCTATCGGGCTGTTAAAGGCCATTAAAAAANGAGAGAAGAAAAAGAAAGAACATTTTTTTCCTGCAGTCAAGCACGTATTTTGGTTGATCGATTGTTCAATGTATATTCTTTTTTGTTTGTTTCTATGTTTCAATTTTTTTNGCACTAAGAATTTGGTAATAAGCACAATCCTTAAACGCACGCAGGGGTGGGCAGGGAGGGGGGGAAGGGGTGGGAGACGGGGGGGGGATGGGGGAACTGGAGGGGCGAGAGAGAGTATTTAAAGTTTGAATACAAAGGATGAAGGGCGTGACCCATTTTTTGGCTGTTCTGTGTGTGCACACAGACCGAGAGAGAAGAGAGAAAAAGAGAGAGAGAGAGAGAAAAATATCAGCCACATCCAACTGTTCAGCGACTGGTGGAGCGTTGCTGCCGTTTCTCTCTCTCTCTTAGAGAAATGGCTTCTGAAGAATTTTGTCTTCATGAGAGGGGGGGGGGGGTTCCTTTTTCTTGTCCGTCGACATCATCCCCGCGGACCACTCAACGTGTGTTAATCATGCGGTCGCTAAACCAAGCACCGGTGTTGACTATCACATCCCAGCGTCGTTAATTAACCTCTTCCCTTCGTGTCCGTGTGTTTGTTCTTCCTTTTTTTTAAAATGATAAAATTGATTTGGTTTTGAAACGGTGTTTTTTTTCCCACTTTTTTAAGAAAAACGAACGTGCGTGAGTGTGTACATGCCCCCCCCCCCCCACCGCCTCCCCGTGTGTGTGCATGTGTGTGCACGCCCCCAGTGTGTGCGTGTGTGTATGTGTGCACAGCCTCTGTCGTACCTACGTCCACGGAGTGAATCACAAGTGAAGGATGAGAAGGAGGGGATGGGGGGGTTCAAGGATCGTTCATTGTTCTATACTTTTACAAACTCCCCCACCTCTCACACACACACGCGCACACTCACTGACGTGCACTTACAAACACGCACGCACACACTCACAAACATACTCTTTCGCACGTAGTCACTTACACACCGGCTCCCACACTCACTAACAACACGCAAATCCCCAAACCCTTGTTTATCTATCCTGCTGTAATGTTAACTGTGTGTCAGTATTAAGAAGTTGTTCAATGGGTATCTAGTATATTGATTAATAAAATTTGAGAAACAATTTCAGACCCGTTTGCTCCGTGTGAATATATCCCTGGGATTCAGAGATGTCTCCAGTGATAATAGTAATAATCCTTGCATTTGGTACAACACCTTATCATGCTGGAAGGACACCTCAAAGCAATTCACAGGACATACGGTAAAGTGACCGTGCAAAGTCTTCGGACTAGTCAAAGGCAGCAGCACAATTGCACACAGAAAGTGCCACAAACAGCCAGGGAGTGAGCAACCAATTTTATTTGGGGTATTGTTGGCCAGGACACCGGGAGAGAGAGAGAGAAATTCCCTCCTCTTTTCCAATATCGCCACAGGATCTTTAACGTTCACCTGAAAAGGCAAATAGGATCTAGGTTTAACATCCGGCACCTCCGACAATGCAACCCCCACCCCCATTCCCCACTGCACTGCATTGGAGCGTCAGGTTACACTGTGTGATTCCAACTCCCGACGTGGGGCTTGAACCCACAACGTTCTGAGTCAAAGGCAAGAGCGCAAACTGCCGAGCCAGGCTGACCACACAGCTTGACGCAATAATAATAAGGAGGACGTATCGAAATGCGTCGCACAATTCACTGTAAAATGTAATAGCTGTGTAACTTGTAGGTGAACGCGCAGCCAATTTACGCACAGCAATATCCCACAAGACACTCGTAGTATAATAATAACAACTCTTGCATTGGATGTAGCGCCTTATCACGTCGTCGAGATGTCTCAAAGTGCTTCAGGGAATGCACTGTAAAGGGGATTGACTGTGTATTTTGGATTGACTGTACGAAACCCGTTTGCCTACAAATATAACTGAGGAGGGAGTTTTATCCGGATTCCTGGCCGACAAACCTCCAGATAAATTGGTTGTTTATATCATCGCTGCGTGTAGGACTTCACTGTCATCTACCGTCTCCAAAATACACAGGGAGGTGTAAAACTGGACTTCAAATTATTAATCTTTGGTGTGGATTTCCCTCTGGTGTCATCGCCCTGACACCAGGATGGTGCTACTCTGTGTCGTGCCCCCTCTCACACACTGTAGTGTAGTGGTTAGCGTGCTTGGTCGTGTGGAGCTGTGTGTGTCTGTGGAGGGAGGGGATTGATTGCGTGTGGAGGGTGGAGGTGCTGTGTGTGGGGTAGGGGTGGGGGAAGAGGCTGTGTGTGGGGGGGTTCGAGGAGGTGCTGTGTACTTGTGTGCGCGGGGCGGACTGTGGAGGGGCTGTGTGTGGGGGGTGCTGCATGTAAGGGGGAGCTATTTGTGTGTGTCTGGTTGTAGTGGGTGGGGGGCTGTGTGTGTGTTTATGGCGGGGTGGGGTGTGTGTGTGGGAGTTAATTGTGTGTGACGGGTGGAGGGGTGCTGTGTAGGTTGTGAGATGCTGTGTGTGTGTGTGTGTGTGGTGGTGGGAGAGCTGTGTTTGTAGGGAGTGAGGGGTTGCTGTTTGTATATGTGCATGGGGGGAGGGTAAGGGCTGTGTGCATGTGAGTGGGGGGGTAGGGTGCGGTGGGGGGGGAAAAAGGAGGGTGCGCTCGGAGCTGGGTAAGTGCTCTGTCGAGATACCTAATCAAGCGGGTCACAGAAACGAGAGCCCTCATCACTCACTCCTTCAGCAAGATTTACGGCCATTTCCCATAAATATTTCAGCATTTTCTCTGATGGTCGCTCTCATTATTCCCAGAACATCCGTCTTCCTGTTGCCGCTCGCTGGCGGGAATGGCTCTATCCAGAGCTGGATTCAGCCAACGGGTTAATAATACTAATCCTCGCATTCGATGTAGCGCCTTATCACATCGTTGAGGCGTCTCATAACGCTTCACAGAATATACTGTAAAGTGGATTGACCACATTTTGTGGGCAAAACGCAGCAGCCAATTTGCCGCTGCGTTTCGCCCACAGACAGCGGTGGATTGAGGGACCAAATGTTATTTAAAATAATAATGATCCTTGCATTCGATATAGCGCCTTATCATGTCTTCGAGACGTCTCAAAGCGCTTCACAGAATATACTGTAAAATGGATCGACTGTGTATTTTGTGGGCGAAACAAAGACCGTGTATTTTGGGGAAATCGACCGCCTTCTTGGTGGGAGTGGATTCAGGGTGGAAACAACTGTGAGTGGCAGCGGACAGGATAATACTGAGTAGTCGTCACTCCGTGGGGCACGTGACACCCTGATCTCAGCACTGTCTGTTGGATAGGCCTTTGAGAGTGAATTAACAATGAACAAAAGGGCCAAGAAGAAGAAGAAGAAGAAGAAGGGCAGGAAGTACAAGGGGGCACTGGGAGTGGGACAACGTGTGTGGTAAAAGA